AGAAAAGTCCCCTTCCCTTCACTAAAAAAATGAAATGTGCCTTTTAGAAAGGGCGGGCCTCTCGTGGTGCTGCTGACAACGGTGAGAGGGTAGGTCACATGTCCAGGGTCACAGTCAGACTGTGATGGAGAGGCAGAACCCAGGCCTTCTTGGCACCAAGGTTCTCTGCCCACTTTGACATCTTGACTCCAGCCCCCAGAAGGTGCCGGATAAGTGAATTAGGACCCTCCCCACCCCAGCATCTGGAGCTGAAATATCTGGCCCTCCCAGGCATCAGGCTGCCTTCTACCCCCCCCCCTTGTCCTCCAGACCCCTCCAGCTTCCCCCAGGAAGCCCTCATGGCCGACTCAAGACAGTTCAGACCCAGGGCCTCCTCCAAGATCAGACGCCCCGAGGGTTCCAAGCACAAACCGGCTCCTCCAGACCCAGGGGCGGGCAGGAAGATCATGAGATTTCTGTCCACCCTGGCCCAGCTGGACAACCCAGGAAGAAATCGGCTAAGTGGGCCATGGAAATCCCCCGCCCAGTGCATGGGGGCTGGTCAAGGATGGCCCTTCCCCAGCCTCAGGCCTGCAAAAAGACCTCCCACAGAGGGGGAAGGGGGCAAGGGGCTGACTGGGGTCGGATCCCAGGCCCACAATGCCATCTAATTAACCACCATCCTGATGATCAGGCTGGCGGCCTCAGGCCTGGCCCATTGCCACCCAACAGACGGCTCCTTCCCAGGGCATGGGAAGCCTATCTCTGCCAGGGATGGGGGCTCTTAAAGGGCTCCTCAGCCAATGCCAGGGGGTGGCATCGGGGAACTGAGCCCAGGATTCCAGCAGTCAACTCTATCTGGCCTTTCCCCAAGAGGGAGAGGAAAGATGACCCCTCCCCACCCCCCACCCCCACCATGTCCAAGCAAGCCTGAACTGTGCTGGGATGGGGTAGGGCTCTAAGGGATGAGTCAGGAAGAGCCCACCTGTGCCCTGAGCTGGGATGCTGGTAAATCACCTCCACCCCCAGGTCCAGCTGAAGCTCGGAGGACACTCAGCCTCTCACAGGTTTGTCCACACCCTCACTCCACCATGACTCCGTGGAGGGAGGTGGTGGGCAGAGGCGGGACTTTCAGAGATGAGATCCTGATGACTGCAGCCACGACAAAAGGAGAGGAAAGCGGAAATCTGAGGCCGAAAGTCTGCTTGTTTATCGGGGAAGCCACCTGGCCCTTCCTGAGGTCGGCCCCAACAGCCGTCACTCTGCTGGGTCACCCACTCCAATGCCCGGGCAGCCAAGGTGTGGTCCTGGTGACCGTGGCTTCCCGCGGGCTCCCCAGCCACAAGCCCCACCCTGCGGCTCACCACTCCACTTCCCTCCTCCTTACCCAGCCAACTTCAGAGCCCCACTGAGGCACTGGGGAGCGAGTGGGGAGAGAAGAAGCCGGGCCTGGGTCCCATGAGAGGTCCCACACGTGGTGGCCGGAGAAGGAGCTTAAGGCATCACTGTTAATCACCGACCCGGCCCAGAAGGTGGTCGGAGGCATGAGCCCAGGTGGGGCCCATGTTCCCCTGCCCTCAGCTCCCCTTGTACAATGGGGGACTAGCAAGGACTGGAGCCCCAGGTCTGGCTCCCATGATCCCAATCAAAGGCTCTCCCATTCCTGGTGTTCCCTAAGGTCTCCAAGAGAGGAGGAAACTGAGGCCCGAGACCAACCCAAGGGCAATTGACATGGTGTCTGCATGTCACATCCAGGGCATCATGCCCCCTTTCCTCAGCTGTGCCTTCTGGCCAGCTGGACCACCTCATCAAACTGACGGGCAAACCCCAGAGATGCCCAGGGTGCATGTGGCGCCTGATGTAGGCCAAGTGGGGGTTCACTGGCTCCCTCCATACCCAGGACCAGCCTCTTCTGTACTCCAGGGCTCCCCAGGCCAGAAAGTCCCCACAACTTGGGGAGACACCCGTTGTCCAACCCCACGGCTGTTCCTGAGAAGCTTTTGTCTGCCGCACCTTGGCACTTGGAGTTGGGTTAGGGATGAGAACATCCAAAGCGTCCCCACCCCCATTTGGCCATTAGACACTGAGCCTCAAGAGGGGGAAGTGACCTGGAGTCATAGTGTGAGAGGTGGAAGGGAACTAAGATTATCTGGTCCATCTTACAGATAGGGAAACTGAGACCAGAGAGGAGTCACATGGGGAAAGTGGCAAAGTTCACCTCCCACCTCAGGGCCTGCGCCTCCCTCTTGAGTGGTGCAGGCGCCAATCCACCTAGCACCAGCATCAGGGCCGGAATGGAGAAACCTGCATCAGCCACCGGCGTGCCATCCTGCTCCTTACTTTCTGGATGCCCATCTGCCAAATGAGGGCTTTACTGTTTGTGCCCCCCCTCCTTGTACAGGGCAGCTGTCCAAGGGAGAGCAGGGCTAGAGACCAGGTGTCCCTGGGCCAGAGAGGGCTCCCTCCTGGGGACTTCCAGGCACCCATGTCCCATCTCCATCCCGGACCTCCCAAGCCTGCACCACCCAGCTGCCCTGCTCAGCTCAGACACATCAACCCTAAGCTGCCACTTGGAAACCACTTACCCTCCCTGAAAGGGGCATAAAGGGAGAGTCTGGCTGAGAGCCCTCAGCCTGAGGGGGAGGGACCCCCTGGGGCAAGATGCCAGTGTTCCCCCAGGATATCTGAGGAGAAGGGGGGGGACAGGCCTGCAGGCAGAACACACACACATCCTGCTCCCATTGGTTCATCGTTTACTCCAAAATTAAGCAACAGGATCTTAGAATGACAGGAAAACCGAAACAAACCCCCCACCCCAGGAACAGGAACAGAGGTCAACAGAAAGCAAAACTTAAGCAGGAAGAGAGAAAACAAGAGAAAACAAACATAATGCCAGGAAGAGAGAAAACCTGTGGGGCTCCCCACCCCCCTGCCCCCAGGGCAAGCGAAGACACAGCTACCCCCAGGAAGGCAGAGCCCAGGAGAGCAGGGCTGGCTGCAGAGCCCAAGCCCTCAGAGCCTCTTAGATGGAGGGGTTCAAATCCTGCCACTGACATTAGCCTAATGACCTTAATCAAGTCATTTCATTTCTGGGTGCCTTAGTCCTTATGGTTAAAATGTAAGGACTATAGGTGGTAATCTTTCCCTGCCAAGGAAATGAGAGAAAGCAGGCAGGACCTGAGCGCTGTATACCTTAAGGAGCTCCAGAATGGGAAGCCAGCACCGGCAGCCTGGATGTTGTCAGTCCCAAAGTGTGTGTGTGTGTGTGTGTGTGCGTGTGTGTGTGTGTGTGTGTGCACACACCCCACACATACCACACATACCACATACACACTCCTCCCCTCCCCAGACCAGGCTAACCAGACACATGCAGCCAATCACAACAACACACATACATACATACACACACACACACACACACACACACACACACACACACACACTCACACACACACGCACCCTCCCCAGTCAGGCTCCTCCAGCCCCCTTCACTCTTGGAGAAACAAGCAAAGATTACACATAACACACGAGTTCATCAGAGATAAAATTCTGGCAGGCAGGACAAGGCCACAGGAGGGAAAGGTCCCACGTGCCCAGGATGGGCAGGCCTGCTTGTTTGCTTACCCTTAGAACAGAGCTGAAACCCCAAGGGGTCGACCTGCCCCCCAGTCACCTGCCTTGGGTGTCCCCACTTGGCAACCTTCCCTACCTTAGAGGGAATGCACATTTTTTTTGGGGGGGGGGGTCTGTCAGGTCTCTCTGACTCCTCCTTCCCTCCTCCCTCATGGCTTCAGCAAATATTCCCTAAGAGCCTGCTTCTGCCAACTCTCCCCAGCCCTCGGTGTGTAAGAGAGAAAGAGTTCTGGGCCCTGGGGGAGAGCCCACAACAGCAGCAGCGCCCTGAGTGGAAGGTACCCACCCCCAGGGCTGGCAGGGCCCAGGTCTCATGGCTACCTCCTCACACAGGACTTGTCTGGTGCCCATGCCCATACCTATGCCCACTCCCCTGGGGCAACCGTGGAGTCCCTTCCTTGGGAAGGTGCACAAGCCTGCTCTTGCATCCACAATTGACTCCTGCCTGGCTCCAGCCCCTCTGAGTGGGGCCCAGGAGGTGGGGGGGGGACGACGACATGGTGGGCCTAGGCCCTGGTCCTCAAGGAAAGGCCCTAGCAGTGCTGGGAAAAGGGGAGTGAGGAGACTCCACTGGGACTTGGCTCCGTGACAGGGAGGGGGAGTGTTCAAGGTCCCCCTCCCCACCTGCAGCCTGCCTGGCCTTGAGGATGAGTTAGAAGCCTGCTATCTGATGGGGAGTCCCATCTTCTCCTGCTTCCAGGGTCGGAGGCACACACCAGGGACTCCTCCAGTGGGGCCCTAACATAACAGTGAGCTGAGTCTGGGAGAGGCACAGCACCCCTCTTCTGACGGTTGTCCACACACCAAAGTCCCCCGCGGAGACAGCAGCCGGGATTCGGAGGCTCCCCAGCAACAGCTGTGGGCTCTGACCGCTGCGAGGCCTCCCCGCCCACAGACCCCCGCGCCCCCGGCAGCCACAGAAGTCTGGACAGACAGACTGATGGACGGATGGACCAACTGACCGAAGCTCACAGGTGGTTGGACAACTTCACCTCAGGCCGCTGCCTCAACCCCACTCCCAGTCCTTAGGGACGCCCCTCCCTCGGGCTGAACTGCGGGGCGAGGGGAGGGGGGAAAAAGAGGGCCCTTCCCGGGCAAAACACCCCTGGCTGAGGACGCCCGCGGAAGCAGCTCCATTGTCTGTGCCCCCCCATGTCCCCATGTATGTGCCCACGCACACCCTACACACACACACACACACACACACACACACACACACACACACACACACGTACGTACGCGGCGGCGGGTGCAGGGCAGGGACCCTCCCCACGGCCAAGGGCGGCCAGTCGCCCCGTTGGGCCTCCCGGGAGGGCGCAGGCTCTCCCCCAGGCCCTCCGCCCTCCTGATCGCCGCCCCTGGAGCCTGGCCTACCACCCCTCACTCACCCAGAAGACGAAATTGAAGACGAAGAGCAGGTATTTGATGCACTTGGTGCAGCCCTCCACCCCCATGGCTGCGCGGCGGCGGGGACTGTGCTGGTGCGGAGCGAACAAGCTGGGCTGGCTGGGCGCGGCGCGGCCGGACTCACGGACGGCCAGGAGAGGCGAGGGGATCGGGCGCGGATCGGGAGGGGCCCGGGAGCGGATCGGGAGGGGCCCGGGAGCGGATCGGGAGGGGCCCGGGAGCGGATCGGGAGGGGCTCGGGCTGCCTGCGCGGCCTCGCTCGCGTCCCGCACCTCCGCAGACGCCGCTGCCGCTGGCTGAGCTCACTGCTCTGGCTCGGCTCTGCCGGGCGCTCAGTGGCCACCCTCCTCCTCCGCCCCCGCCCCGCCCTCCCGGGACAGGCCCCGCCCCTCCCCCAGCTCTCCGGCGCCCCTCCCCCCGGCCCAGCGGCTCCGTGTCCGGCCTGCGGAGGCCGGGCAGGGGAGAGGGGCCTTTAGCCGGGCATCCGCCTCCCCCCAACCCCGGGCCTGGGGCCGCCCGTGCCCACTGCCCTGAGCGGGACCTTGCCCTCCCTTCCCTTCCCTTCCCCGTGCCGGGCCCAGGACCATCCGGCCCGGTCCCCAGCTGAGCCCTGGGCCAGGTGATGGAGGCTGGAGAAGGAGCCGCGCAGCGCTGTCCAGCCCGGCCGGGGCCGCCCGCGCGCTGGCCGAGATAAGGCCAGGAAACCCCGGCTGCTTCTGCAATCACTGAAGCCCATGGCCGTGCGGCTTCCGATGGCGGGGGGGGGGGCCGGGGTGGGGGTCAGCACCCCGGAGGGGCCGTTCTCCCCGGGGCCCAAGCCCTCACCTTCGGGAGCTCTGCGTGAAAAGCTTAAGGGGTTCTGTCTGCCTGTCTGTCTGTCTTTCTCTGTCACACACACACACAGACACACACTGTCACACACTCAACCCCAATCACCAGCTCCCCCCAGGCCCTGGGTCCCAGGTCATCCTGGAGCAGGGGAGGCTGTTTTGTGATTATTTGCTAGACAATGGAGATACCAAGACAAAGACATTCTATTGGGAAGTGGGAGGGGGCAGGCCAGGACCAAAGCTGGAAATTCCTGGGCTGCCAGGCTCTGGTAATCAAGGGAAAGACAGTCCTTCACCTGGTGATCTCTTCAGCTCACATGGATTTAACCACCAGCTCTTCACTGTTGTTTTTCAGATCTATTTGTCCAGCCCTAACCTCTCTCCTAACATCCTGACTTGCATCTGCAACTGCCTCTTACACATCTCAGAACGGATGTCCCTTAACTCGAACCTGAACCCTAACCCTAAATGCCTAGACCTAAACACAGCAGTGCATCCACTGAGTTGTATCCTTGTACGTCTATGAGAGAGCAGCAAGGGGCAGGGGGAGTGACCCCGGGGGGCTGGCAACTCCTACCCCACAACAACCCTGTCATCAGAGAGATCAGGCACAAATCCAGCCAGGAACAGAGCCAGTGACGCAGAAAACAAACCTTGGCAAACACACAGAAACACGGTACATCTATGAAAGATAGCCACCCAAGACAGACAGAAGCTCCAAGGAGTGAGACCCCCGAAGGGGGAATTCTACCAAAATATTGACCCTCAGAGCCCAGCAGTGAGTGTAAGGAAGCAACTTCATGAAGAAGAGGAGAGAGAGAGAGAGAGAGGGAGGGAGAGAGAGAAGAAAAGAAAAGAAGAGAAGAGAAGGCCTTGTGGTCCCCAAGAGCTGTGAGCTTCTCCTTGGACACACATGTCCCCTACAGACAGGTATTCTTACCTTTGGGCCCACTCCCCTTCCCTCCTTCCCTGGGTGTGCAGGGGGAGAATGTATCCCCTGTTTGGGGGCAATGTTTTACATCAACTGTTTGTACCATACCTCCTCATTAAACACCCTTGCTAAAAGCTAATTGAGCTACTGGCTGATAATTGTTTGGAAGCACACCCCTGAGCGGCAGTACTAGAAATCCCAAACTCTCAGGGTTGCCCGAGGAACACTGAATCCTGAAGGCTCACCAGTGTAAGCAGCCCAAGTGGGTCTGCCACACTGAGGAAAAGAGGAGGATCAAGGGAAAGCTAAGTCCTTCTGCTCTGGTTGGACCAGATAAAAGACAGAGCTGCTCACCTGGGGTTTTTCGGTAGTTCCCACCCCAGCCCCTAAGGAGACTGACCTTTGCCCTGTAAAGAAAGGAACAAAAAAAGCTAGCAGATATTTGATCCCTCAGCTAAGGAGACAGCCCAACATGCACACGGGCCCAGGTCCTAAAGAATGGGCCAGTGATTGGGGAGCCATCGTGGGGTGGAACGTTTGGAGGGTCAAGGACCACAGGAGCGGGGCTGCAGAAGGGCGTGTGCCCCAGTGCCCTCAACAGGGAAGAGAATGAATGGAGCCTGCAACCTGTGGGCCCAGAAATTGGATTTGGATTCCTGGCAGAATTCTAGGACCCATTGAAGAAGCATGTGGAAAAGGCGGCCGGGGAGCACCGGCAGTCGCCATCATGGCCACGCTCGGAAATCTGTGCTGGGAACGGGGAGATGAGGTTCCAGAGCAAGGAGGGGGCTGCGGGTGGCTGGTGGAAAGGTCCTCGTCAAGCCGTCGAGAAAGTGGGTCAGCTTCTTCTTGGGGGAAAGAAGAAGAGGCAAAAACGAGCCCCTCGTGCAGATTCAGTGAATCATCCCCGGTGGGATGGCTGGCCCCAAACAACGTCCACCCACGCTGCCTTGGCAGTTGTCCAACAACCACTTATTAAGTGCCTACTGCATACCAGGCACTTTGCTAACCAAGGGAGAGCCAATGAAAGAGGCAAGAATGCCCCCATCTCTCAGGCAGCTCACAGCCTGTGGCTGTTTTTCCGCTGTCGAAGACGACCAGGACGTCAGGGAGGCCCCGCTGTGACACGCAGGTGAACTGGATTTAAGTGGCTCCTCCAGAGCCATCCGGGTCCAATGGCCAGATATGGATCAGGACAACTGGGACCAGGGTACAGTGGAGACCTTGGCCTTTCCAAGCTGAGGTCTTTAATAGGTGTTGGGTTGACTGAGGCAATGTCCATTGTTAATAAGAAATGAGGCAGAGAATGGCCTCTTTACCTAGTCAAAAAAAAAATCAGTCTGGGAGGGGAAGACCCTCAGGGTTTCTGGCCAAGACAGAAACAATTTGAGTCAGGGGGCACATGATTGCTGCCTTCAAACATCTGAAGGGCTGACCTTGCAAAGATTTATGCTTGTTTGGTCTGACTTCAGAAGTTAGAGCTGAGGGCCATCTCCAGTCACTCAGGCTTATGGGGGAGACAATGCAGCTCTGAAGATGGGGCTCCCATTGGCCCCCACCCCCTTACAGTAATAACAATGCCGGGAAGAAAAATTCAAGCTAGAGCACCAGCCCTGGATTCAGGAGGACCTGAGTTCAAATGCAGCCTCAGGCACATAACACTTACTAGCTGTGTGACCCTGGGCAAGTCATTTAACCCCATTGCTTAGCCAAAAAAAGAAAGAAAAAAATTTCAAAATATCGCATTGCTCCTAATTCCTCCTGTCTTTCTGTCTCCCTGTTTCTGTCTGTCTTTTTCTCTTGGAAAGGTTTCCTGAAGAAGATGGGATTTGATCTGAGTTTTGAAGGAAGCTGAGGAAAGTAGGTTAGAGATGAGGCCTGGAGGACAGCCAGGACAAAGGCCTGGAGATTGGAGATAATGTGACACAGCAGTTAGAAGCTGAATAGAGAGGGATAGCTTCCAGGAGTATGGAGGTGATGGTCCCCGTCCTCTGTCCAGCTAAGACCCCCTCTGCATGTTCTGCTCAGTTCTGGGCTTCCAAGGTCATTCATTGCTGAGTTGAGAGTGTCCCGATGACCAGGGAAGGAGGACTGGTTGAAGGAATGGGCCTAGAGAGGAGAAGATTCAGGGGGACCCGATGGCCATCTTCAAGTACTTGAAGGGAAAGAGGAAGCAGACTTGTCCAGTTTGTCTCCAGAGGACAAGACTGGACTCCGTGAGGGAACGTGTGGGGAGAAGCTTCCTGACAAAGAGAAGGAGCTGCCCCAGCGTGGAAAGGGCTTCCCCCAGGGTGAGCTCCTCTGAGGCTCAACACCGGCCAAGAGCGCTCTGCTCTGTCTGTCAGGAGGAGGATTCCTTCCCCTCGCAGGGTGGGCTGGAAGCCAGTGAGGGTCCTGGCTGCTCTGCGGATCTGTGGCTCCTCGGGTCAAATGAGAGCCCCATTGATTTGAGCATTGATCAGCTTCTCTGTTCTTCCACCAATCCCCGGTGACCAAGATGCTGTGGCTGGGGATACAGTGGACAGAGTGCCAGCTTGGGTTCAAATCTGGACCCAGACACTTCCTAGCTGCAAGAGGGGGGATGAAGGGACACTTAACTTCTGCCTGACTCAGTTTCCTCAACTGTAACCCGAGGATAACGATCGCATCTCCCTCCCAGGCTTGGTTGTTGTGAGGGTGAAATGAGTATTTTAAAGGGCTCTGCAAACTTTGTTTGGGCATTTCAGTTGTGTCCAATGCTCCATGACCATATTTGGGGCTTTCTCGGCAAAGACACTGGAGGGCTTTGCCATTTCCTTCTCCAGCTCAGTTTATAGATGAGGAAACTGAGCAGGGTGAAGTGACTTGCCCAGGGTCACACAGCTAGGAAGTGTCTGAGGCCAGATTTAGACTCAGGTCTTCGTGACTCCGGGCCGGCACTCTATCCACGGTGCGACCTAGCTGCCCCTTTGCACGCTTAGCGCTGTATAAATGATGTTGCTATTTCTTGGCTTGGGGCATTTTCTCTGGCTGTTCCTTGGGCCTGGCCCCCAGACTCTCCTGCCTCATCTCCCTCTCCTGGCTTGGGTGACTCCCTTCGGGTCCGAGGCAGTCTCACTTTCTGCCAAAAGCCTCCCCAGTCTTCCTTGTCCTCCTTAACCAGCCCTTCCTCCTGGGGTTACTCCCCCCATCCATCCAGTCTGTACCATGTCTGTCCAGAGTGGTTTGCAGGCTGTCCCCCCAATAGATGGGGAGCTCCCTGAAGGGAGGGGCTGTGCATAATGCACCTAAGTGTTTAGTCTTTGTTGAGTAGTGACTGCTGGCTCTCGATCAACCTTCTGGAGCTAAGCAGAAGGAGAAGAATCCCTGTTATCTGACAGCCCCAGGATCTAACTGTCAGGCCCCCAAGTCTTCCCTTCTCCAGGGATGCTGTGGGGCTTGGATTCAAGGCAGGACCTTCCAGCTCGCAGGTCTGTGATTTCCAAAAGGGCATGACCACAGGACTCCCCTTTCCTTCCTCTGATAAGCTCCTGCCTGTCTGAGGGCCTCAGAGGGTGGTCACTGTACTTCTGGGAAGCCCCATCACC